CAAGTTCTAACTTCCTACCCCTCCACATTTGGAAAGATTTTAGAGGGTTTTTTTTAATGTATATTGTTTGAGAATCCTTACAAATGAGTAAGAGCACATAAACAACTACATTTCCAAAGCAAAACTCCCAAATCCCTAAGTTAACACATTATTTTTCATTACACAACCAGATAAATTTTCTGTGCCAGCATAGTCTTACATATGGGGATTCTGTAAGAAATGCAAGGACTGGAATTGTTACATTAACCTTTCAGTAGCATTTAAAAATGTGTAGAAAATTTTCTTCATACTTAGAACTTCATTTGTTGACTTCTGTTGTTATTTCTATATAAACTTTATACAGCCTTTTTCAGTCTGTAAACTTCCACACAATTATTCTTTCAACTAGTTATTGTCATGGTGTAACCTGTCAGAGTAAGAAAGAGAAAGGAATTTCCCCAAGATATCCAGGGGGCTGTATTGTATATCAGTGGCTTGAAACTGCTTATTTTCCACAACTAAATACATCACTTACTCCTTGCCTTTAAATATCCTTTGATACACTGTGAAGTGCAAGTTCCCTTCCAAGTTCCTCTAATTCTTTAATCTCAACTTTGATGATAAATCCTCAAATCATGCTGTTAATCAACCTGTATGTTATTCCCTGTCCATGTTTCAGTTTTGAAGCGGAATATCATTAACAATAGAGGTTTGATACTTCCTCCAGGATGCCCTATTTGGTAGAAAAGATTGAGGGGAGATTTGTGTGTGTGTGTGTTTCCTTTCCCCCATCAATTAAATATATGGAATATATTCTTTTCTCATGGTTGTCCACATTTTATTAGACTGCATAAAGGATGGGCAATCATTACCTAATGCTGTTAGAGACAAACATGTTCAGTCTCTCCTCATAAAAACATATGTTCCACCAGTGCTTTACCACTCTCCAGAATGATTTTAAAAGGGGAAATGATTTTGTTGGTGGGGGAACTATAATATATGAACAAAGAAGAACCTGAAAAGTAAGCAATTCTCCCTAAAGATATAAGGCTGAAATGTACTGTACATGAAATTTAAGATTATAAGGAAAAATGCCCCAAATAATATTGGATGGATGGATGGATGGATGGATGGATGGATGGATGGATGGATGGATGGACGGACGGACAGACTAACTTTGAACAGAGGAGAGCATAAAGAACATGCAGAATCATATGTAGAATGGAACACTGAGTTCTGGGAAATTGTGTTCCTTCCTTACGTAGTTGAATCACCTTGGATTTCAGGAGAGAATGCTGCTTGCAGGCGGGAAGGACTAGAAAAACACAAGCTACGTTGATAAGTAATTAGCTATGTCAGTGGATATGCTTGGCAGGAGGAGACCCTTCCCACAAATAACTAGTCATATGGAGCATGGATTCCAGCAGCCAGGAATTGCTGTTTGATTCAGACACTCAAATCCACTGTGACTGGTAAAACAAATAAAAGTGTGGCAGTGACATGGCATCCTAATGCTAGATCTGGAGGTCAAAAGGCCTGTTGAAAAAGATTCATTTTGCTTTTATATAACAAAAGAAGGTACGAATTTTACATCTTATTTTTGATGTGTACATTCTAAGGGATTTCACTAGAACTTCACTGTTTACAAGATCCTACAGCACCAGCTGTTTAACTTTCCCTCATTCTCTTATCACTCCATAAGTAATATATATGTCCTAAATATAAATCCGCTATATACAAAACAATCAGTGATTATCCCAGAAGTCAGGGGCAGATTAAAAGATCAAGAGGCTCTGCTTTAAGCCTTATTTCCAAAGCCCCCTCCTCAATAACATCTTTTTCTCACGCAGCAACAATTTTCAGTGTGTGTGTGCGTGCGTGCACATTTATACATATATTTCTCTTTCTGAGTCTATGAGTTCGTTAGTTTTTTGTCATTTTAATAAGACTAAGATTTTTTTTTTTTAAGTCTGCAACTGCTATTCTGTCCATGGTTGCTATTTCACAATGTT